GGAATTTTCAATTTCAATTGCGGGATTGGCTGGGCTATTTCTGTGATTTATATTGGTTCTCGGCTTTGACTGTGTGTGTGGGGGGGGATTACGCTTCCACTCGATTTGCATTCAAGCGAATGGCTGAAGGGGTCCTGCTCCAGCCAGGATTCGAACAAAAGACGTACCTCATGGCCCTATCAGGAATCTTGAATGAATTGCTCCTTCCCTTTGTTTCAAGACCAGCCCCGACGAGTGGAAGAACTTTTTGTAAAGTCGCCGCTGCCTTGGCAAAGCACAAAGGAAATGCGAGAAGGCCCATGGGGCAGTTGGGGAGGGCAGGAGCGAGAAGTTGTTCCTTGTGAATGCTCAGCTCATTTAAGCAATTACTTCAACTTTTGCAATTACAGACTCAATAAGTAGGTAGTTATGAACCCGAACTTCGAGCTGCTGCTGCTGCTGCTGCCTCTTCTGTGCGTTTTTCCCTGCGCTTTTTCATCATTTCCGCAAAATATTTTCACTCAATTCCCCATCCCAAATCCCATTCCCATGCGCCGTTTGTTGTGTGGTGTTTACTGCCTTTTAATGAATGAATTATTACTCAGACGACATGGCATCTCCGGCCATCTGCACCTCCCTGAGCCCCTACCCTCTCTCGGCTTTGTGTACACCCGACAAACACAACACGTTGTCTAAACAAAAACATACAAAAAAAACACACACACACACAGGAGTGAGTAAGTTTATATATTTTACGTTTATCCGCGGGATGTGCGCGAGCCTGTTCAGCGCTTTTATGGCCAGAACTGTTCCAGTGCCATGCCACATGCACGAGTACGAGGCTGGCTAGCAACTTGTTTTGTTGTTGCTGGAAGCCAATTAAACGGTAATTTAGAATTCCAGCAAAAACATCTCACGTTTATTTGCTGTGGAAACTTTTGTCATGGTCAGCCATGGGTTGCCTTCTGACAGATTCCCCCAAAAATGTGAAGAAGCGAAACAAAATAAGAAACGCAGGCCCCAAATTTGTGTTGGTTTTTATTTGGTTATATTTTGTCTGCGGTCTGTATCAACACACACAGCGCCACACACAGAGATTTCAGTTGATTAACAACAACCACGGAACCGGGGGCGGCTGAACATTTCCTAGAATTTTCACCACCCAACCAGCATTAGCGATTTTATGATAAGAGCGAGGGAACTGACATTGGTAGTATAGGGCTATGGGATCCCCCTAGTTGTACATACCAATAAGAGTATTTATTGCAATAGGAAGTTTCGATATTTTCTGCACTTTGGATGTTGACTTTGAATGTGGCATCTTTATGCGCTCTTCCACACTCTTGGCTCTTGGATGAATAAATACTTTATAAATGTTTGCACTTCCTAGAACTGTTGTGCAGTTTAAGTTGAAAACAACAAGAGGAGCAAGTAAATTAAATTGTTATTCAACACGGAGCATGCACAAGAGGACACGGCCACGTGCGCTTGTCCCCTCCCCAGTGCGGGGCGTCACTCAAAGGTTTCCCGCAGCTCCACTCCGCGCCATTTTGCACCCTTGTCTTCCGTTGGGTTATTATTTACCCGATTCGATTGCGGCTAGTGTGGAGTCACGACACTGGAAGTTGTGTGTGTTTTGTTGTTTTTTTTTTTGTGTTTTCTGTTAATTTCGCGCCTCAACAAGTGGAATTTTGTTGTCTCTGTGTCTCATTTGTCGAGCATGCATTCAACTTGCAGGCTATCTGAATGTTTGAATCGCCACAGCGATTTACAACATTCTATTTTGGGGCTAGATAAGCGGAAATGTTTTGATTTTTGACCAGATAGAAAGTTACGATAATGCCTGGACTGCTACTTGGTGGATCCCCTCGCCTTTACCGTTTGGGATCGATGGAATGTTTGCACAAGCCATTCAGGATTGACATTTTGATGGACTGCCCCAATTAGGGTTCAATTTAACTGCCCCTCCACAGCACTCAGCACACAGCACATAGCCAATGGCCAATGGCCAACGGTCGTCGTGCAGCTCATTAGAAACCCTTCGCAGCCGTGGCCCAAACGGTTCCGCTTCGGGCGTCCTCGGCTATGGCTCAGGCTACGTGTACTTGCCATCAATTTTAAATGAATCTCGCATTCGTTCGGTCAATATTGGACGGGCGCGCCTGATAGACTGAAATAACAGCAGAGCAGCAGAGCAGCAGAGCAGCAGAGACCATCGACCAGCGATGATTGACTTTCCAAAAGTAAACACAATTTCATTTTCATTTTCAATTTATTAAATTTACGCTCTTGAACTTTGCACTTTCCCGTGGCGGCTGCTCTACCACTCGACACGGACAACAGCCGGTGGCAGCAACCATTCGATGGGCGAGCAGCACGTGGCAGTCCAGGCTGCCACTCGAAGACATTAAGTATGCATGCCGGTGATGCAGCATTATTGAATTATTGATCCATCGACAGCAAGTGCGGACTGAAGTGATTCTCATTACCATAGTATCTGACTTCTGTCGCCACCTGTTGCTCTTCCCCGAAAGGGGTGAACTTATATTTGCATAGGGTATTCACGGACTCACGGACAGGTCAGATTTAATTGAATGCCCCAAAAAGGTGCATCAATTTGGCCACTCAAATTTCGTGTTGAGTTTCCGCCCACACAACTGCACTTTTTCGTGGGAATTCCATTAAAAGCAGAGCCCAATGTCAGTGCGAAAATAATAATAATTGTGGAGCAACCAATTTAAATTGATCAGCCAGCCTGGGCATGGATTGTGCAAGGACTTTAAGTCCATTTCCCAGCTGCCTCGAACACTTTTGCCTTGAATTTGAAATTTAAAATTCAAAACGAAAACCTTAAAAGCCACACTGTGTCCCAATAATATGATATGCAGCCGCAACGTCATTTAAAAATCCCAAGCGACAGCTCACCGCACAGTGGGAGTGGCAGGATAAGCGGTTTGCCAGGAGTAGCAACAGCAGGAGCCAAGCGGAGGGGGTAGGAGGTGGCTTGCCAACAAAAGGTGAAACTTTTCCCTGAGTTGGCAATTGGGGTTTAATGGTTGCAGCCAGCAGTAAGCCACCCCACCATACCTCATGGCTGTACCCCAGTCCAGGACCCAACCCTAGACCCGAGCTCCTTGCCTCCCCACCTCCCTCCCTCCCATTCAGATACCCAGCTCGGGGTACTCTTGTGCACTGCTCATTGCTATGCAAATTGCTGTATTTTCTTTAATTTTATTTTCAAGCAAAAGTTTCGTAGCGCACCCCAAAGCTTTCTCCCACCCGTTGTCGCTGTCGTTGTCTGTGGGTGGACGGGAGGTGCTGCGTTGGCCTCGCCCTTGTGTTGACCAAGTAATGCTATTATGTGTGCTTGACCATATGGACAGGGGAGGGAGGAGGCCCTGAAGAAGTTTGCATGCGAATCAGCAGCAGCAGCAGCAGCAGCAGGAGCAGGAGCAGGTAATTGAGGCGCTTAGCAGCAGCACGGACATCTAACTGAAAGGAAATACTCAGACTGGGACTGGGATGCTTGTGTGGATTATTACCCTGATATGTGGCATCAATCAGCACTGGCCTGCTGTTTGCTTGTGTGTGGGATCTCTGGCAGATGCTGACTGCGGCTGCGACTGTGGATAAGCACTTTAAGCGGCAGCTTACAGACTCACCCAAAGCCAATTGGCTGACTCTTTGGCATCGCAGATTAACACACCACCATCTGTAGCTGAATCTTGATCAATATTCAGTATTTTGATTAATGATTCATGGCATTGCTTCGACTGGTACATGGTTTCCTTTCCGCTGCAAGTTTTCCGCTGTCCGGTGTAAGTGTCTGCGGTTTGCCAGACCGCACACCACTGGCCACCCTCTCTGCCCTAAGTGGGTCTCTCCATTGGCTTTGACATTGCCGCATTTGCTTGCCACAATGTTGGCTGACGTTCGTCTGTCTGCCTCGTGGTCTCTGGTCTCTGGTCTCTGGCTTCTCACTTGATAGTGCAAAATCAATAGACGCGTTAAGCGCGCACACACAGCTGTGTAAGCCATTCAGGCATGTGCCATGTACGTGTACGAGTGTATTTGTGTGTGCGCTGGTTAACAATGGAGGGCAGCAATGTGGCCGTTGCCATTGAAATCAAACGGCGGAAGTGCTTCAGGCATAGGCAATACAGCAAAAATTAGCATTGAATGTCAATGAGAGGTGTGGAGCGGGGCAGGGCACAGAGGCCGGAAAAGGGCTATGGCAAAAGTTTTGAGGTTGTCACCTCCCGCCGCCACTCGCCGCACAGAGGGGGGAAGTCCATATGCTGGCAAAATTCCCTATTCCTATTCCAATTCCAATTGCAATTTGCTCTAGTCTGTCTGTGTGGCGGATATAATTTAGCGTTCAATCAAATCGGAAATGGAAGTACCCACACAGAGAGAGACAGACACACACAGAGATAGATAGCTAGTTAGAGTTGGTTGGAATGGTTGGCGGTGGCCCAAACCCTTTGCGTTTCTCTTTTTTCTTTTTGCCCGCCAATTTGTGAGCAATTTTTCCGCATTACTCAGAGAGGACCCCAACCCATCCATCCATGCATCAATGACGCATGACGCACACGACGGGTAATTGTTTTAATTGCTGGCTGGATTGTATTTTGAATTTCGAATTCAGAATTCAGAATGCAAATCAGCAATTTTGAACAACTCCAGCCTTGGGCGCTCTTTAATCCAATCCCACTAATGGGAGGCTCTTTGGCGGCCGAACGAAGAAGGAAATTTGCACATTTGCAAGGGTTCGGTTTCGAAGAAGGTTTGACCCCCACAAAAAACACAAAACTTTTGGCGTGCACACGCAAGGGAATTGTCGAGCAAGGAACAAACTCCCATCAAAGCTCTGATGAGTTTCAAATTGTGAATTACGAGGGAAGCATGAGGAGTGAGTGGGTGGGTGGGTGTAGGATGTGTATGATGATGGGACAACGCCTTGAAACACGAAACGGGTGGAGCAAGTACTAACCCAGTTAAGAGTTAAGAGTTTAAGAGACTTTCCTTCGCTTGGCATTTCGCTTTAATTCAATTTGCAATCTGCGCTGTTCGCATAATCAAGTCGAGTGCAAGGCGAATGCAAATGCCGCTCGCTGGTTTTAATGAGCTTCAGAAACTTAATTGTTATGGCCAGGTGGCATGGCATCCTGCTACGTGCTGCACACGGTGTGCCCGTCGCCCAAACAGGAGGCATAGGCCATCAGGTGGGGAATGGTGCTCTGCTCGTAGACGCCGGTGAACAGATGCGACCAGGGACCCAGAGCATAGACGGCCACATCATCGCCACCGTGCGAATCATCGAAAATGGGCACACCCGAGGGGAACTGATCGGTGGGGGCGCCGGTTATCACAGCAGTGGGATCCTTGCGCTGCTTGGACTCTGTGTCGTAGAATTTCTCATAGCTGGGACCATTGGCATAGCTCAGCACCATATAGGGTAGGCCATCGTTGCCGTTTACGGGTGCCCTGCCAAAGATATCCTCGCCGCGGCTCTGCAAAATAGAAGTAACCCAAAATGAGTATACAAATGAGAGTAGGAGTCCCTAGTGAAGTCCCACCGCATATCCTGCATAGCTAAACACATGCGAGTGATCGGCAGTGACCACCAGCAGTGTGTCCTCCTCGTTGGTCAGCTCCTGGGCAGCGGCAATCGCTTTGGAGAACTCAATCGTCTCGTTGAGCGCCATGCGTGCCTGGTTCTTGTGATGTGCCTGATCGATGCGACCTCCTTCGATGAACAGGAAGTAGCCCTGCTCGTTCTGGCTCATGTACTCGATGGCCTTGCGCGTCATCTGCTCCAGCGAGGGCTGTGGGCTGTCCTCCGCCGTCTCCATGCGGTACTGAATGTGATCGTAGTTGAAGAGTCCCAGCAGACGCTCTGTACTCGCCACATTCACGGCCATCAGCTCTTCCTTGGTGTCCACAAAGACATTCCGGGCATTGGCCGCCTTGAACTCCTCGATCAGGTCGAGGCCATCGGTGCGTTTGCCTTCCTCCGACAGCGTAGAGTCGACAAAGTGCTTGCGTCCGCCGCCAAGGATCACCTTCAGCTTGCTGCCCACCTCGCCGCGTGCCAGCTGGTAGGCAATGTCCTGGATGCCCGAGTTGGCGCCGCAGTCGGTGAACACCTCCGCATCGTTCTCCCAGTCCCGCTCGGCAATGTGAGCGTAGACACCGGAGGGAGAGGCATGCGTCACACGGGTGGTGGTCACCAGACCCGCCCACTTGCCCGCATCCATGGCCCACTTGGCGATCGAGTCGACGTGCGTGTTCTCGTCCAGCATGGACGTGCAGTTGGCGCGGGTCACCACGCCATTGACGCCAATGGTGCCCTCCTGGCCCTTGACGCCGCACAAGTACGCGGTGGCCGTGCACGCCGAGTCGGGCACAATCTTGTCCACGGAGTAGGTCTTCGAGAGGCCCGTATAGGGGAAGTTCTCAAAGGACAGAGCCTTCTCCTCGCCACCGATGAGGTTGCGGGCTGCAGAGGTTGTGGTTACGCCCATGCCATCGCCAATGAAGAGAATCACGTTCTTGGCCTGCCGCTTGTTCGGCTCTCTGGCGAGTTGCTTCTTGATGAACTCCACGCCCTGCTCACGCCAAAAGGCGGTGGTCTCCTCGCCTTCCACCTTGCGCGTGGCCCGTACCGGCTCTGGTAGATCGGGATGCATGCTGCGCTCGCGGCAATGCTCCGGGCCACGCAGACACTCGGGTGCTGCCTGACCAGGGCTGGCCAGGAACAGGAACAGGCCGACGGCGATCAGAATTGCGTTCGCTCGGAGGAACATCTTGCTGTAGACTGCGGATTGGGGCTGCCCCACAGAGCAGTCTGGCACTTGGCACGTCCTATCGATCGATGCAGATTACGATAAGATATGCGGTGGTGGAGGCTCCATAAACACCAAATCGCCAGCAAATCTAATACGCCTTTTAATTCCTTGGTCCGAGGCGTGCTTTTATTTACGATGGGGCCAAGTATGACATTTTATAGATTTATTATGGCTATTCGGTGGCTATCCGTGGCCCGAGCACGTGAGTAGTCCGTCCGCAGTCCGCATGGTGTGGTCATCAGCTGAATTTTCTCATTTCCACGTCACGTAATCATCTGGGAATATCTGAGAAATCTGGCGGATAAGCTCGGTGAATGGGCGTCCACTGTGCACCGCATTTCATTTATTTGAGAGCCATAAAAACTGGGCCCTCAAGCAGGTGACTGAAAGAGCGAAAATGTTTCCTTTTCAATACGAAACGGAGACCAAAATGCAAAGCCATTCGAACGGAAGAAAAGCCAAGCACCAAGCGGAAAACAGCGAACAGAAAGGTTAAAGTTGAATTGTCCAAAGGAGAAATTAGAGCGTGTTAGTTGACCTTCATTTGCACTTGGCTTGTGCCAAATGGCAGGCAATGGAGGAGTTGGGAGTTGCCCGAGTGCAGCTGTTGAATCTGTAGAGTACAGAGCACAGAATTCTTAAAGTTTTTTCTGCAAAACTCAATTCTTTTTGGGCAATCGACGCTATCGCAAATTGCCATTTCTATTGCTATCGCTGTTTGGCCGGTTGTTTGGCTGTGTTTGGGGCGATTTAATGGCTAAAAATACGAAATTCCTTGAAGCAATTATAATTTGACTCACACTCGGATGTGTTTCCTAATGTTCACACCGCAGAGAGCTCTCTGCCACTGCACCACATGAATAATGCCAATATTTATGTGCACTCTAGGCGTATACGTAATTTTTTATTTACAGCCAATAGAGAGAGGGTGCACACACGCACACACACACACACACATACACATACACAGGCTGGCTAATAAATTTGGAGCTCTGTTTCGAGTGTCAAGATTGCGGCCATTTGGCCAAGGCAAAAGGCATTAATCAAACAGCTAAAGCCCCATGGCTTCTGGCTCATAGCTTCTGGCTTTTGGGCAGTCCATTGCACATGAAACATCTGACACTGTCCGCCTCTGTGCTAATTCTTATACACTTGATTTCATTTGCAGACAAAAAATCCAAGTACTCATACTGGAGGAGAGCAGCTACGAGAAGGATGTCAGCTTTAAGGTTCACATCGGAGTGCCACGATTGGCACCAGGTGAGTGTTGGCCTCTGACCTACTGACGCGACACAGCGTGCCAGCTGCAATTACAGCACCGAGTCCTAGACCATATCCAAGTCCAAGCTCCACAAATCCCTCCCCACAACCCACAACCCAACACCCAAACCCACCCAAAACCATCCCCCTTGTGACAATGCTAACCAAATTACTCGAAGCAGCCCAGCGCACTCGTAGAAGTGCACCGAAGATGGGACAAGTTTCCATCTCTTTTGGTCAAAGTTCAACAGGCGTCACCGGGGAGATAAAATTCCCAGGGAAAACCCACACAACACACACGAGAAATATATTCCCCACACACTTTCCAATCCTCTCTCCACTTTTGAAAGCAAAAACTATGTGAGACCGAACGAGTCCCTTTCCACTCCTTTGGACCCCTCTTTTTTAGCCCGAAAATATTAAGAACAGGCAAGAACGTCAAGGTCCAGCAAGAAAATACAAAAGATGAAAAAAAAAGTTGGTTGTATATTGGAAATTCCAATTTGAATTTGAATTGGAATTTGAAATTTAAATTGAAGGAAATTGCTACTTGGTTTCGTATGTCGCTCTGGTCGCATCCTATTTCTATCGACTATTTGGATTCTTTTTATACTTTTTGTGTCTTTTAATTTGTGTTCTTTATGCTTCTAGATTCCCTTCACTACCGTAAGCCTTGAATTGTGCATTAATTAATTTTATTTTAATTGAACACGAAAGCGCAAAAGAAAGAGCCGTGGATACGTTTGCCAGCGTGGCAACGTGAAGCGGCTAATTCTAAGAAAAAGTTACACAAATGCCAATTCCAAATTGGACAACACTTTCGGGTTTCGGGTTTCTGGTTTCGGTTTCTTCAAAAAAAAAAAACAAAAAGAGAAGAAAAACCCTTGAAAATGGTTGCCCCCCGTGCAACTCATAATTTGTTGTGGTCTGGTCCTTTTCTTTGTTTCACCGAGTGCGGAAATTGCGGACAAAAAAGTGCAAATTCATTTGGTTATTTCCTTTCAGTTTGTGTCCCCCCAAAAAACCAAAAGTAGCCACATTTTAGTTACGTATTTCGTTTCGTTTCGTGTCGGTGTTGTGTATGTTCTTATGTTCCACCATCTAAGAGTAGAAACCTCTTTATGTGTTGAAATTCCACTCCCACTCCCTTTGCCAATCCCAGTCCCAGTCCCGTTTCCCTTATCTGTTTAGATGTTTTGCAAGAGGTTGTTCTTAAGTATGAGTTGCCCCTAAGTGTTCCCCATCGAAGTCTGAACATAGCATTCCTCACTAGCATCTGTGTAAGCCCCAAAAGCCCAGCCAAAAACCCAACCCAATCCGAGACACACATGTGATCTGAATCCATTCCTTCCATCTCCCATACCACCACCACCTGAGGCACTGTGCACTTTGATTCTAAGTATTTATTTCTGTTGACCCATCGATACCCATTTGCTTGTCTACATAATAACATGACTAAACTAAAAACCATACACATATTGTTCACACTTGTTTCTCCAATCCACAACCAAACCAAAATCAAAATCAAAACCAAAACCAATCGAACTAATCCACAACGTATGTAATTGCCAAATGAAACACACGTTCAATCCTCACGCAGATGACTTTAATAAGGAATCATTTTTCAATCGATTTTTTGGTATGTACACGTCTTTCTTTGCCCATATCTTTGCCTATAAGATTGCGATCAACAATTTCGAGTGTTCAGTTAATCGAAGAATATGCTAAATATGCAGTACAGTCCCAGCAGCAAAAGAGCAACAAGAAAAGCGATAAAGAAAGATGAAAGTATATTGTTTTTGTAGCCATTGTGTCATTGTGTCATTGTGTCATTGTCATATTATTTTGGTTTTATTTGATCCTTTTGCTCATTAACACACATTATCAGAAATATCAGTCTTATCCGCGTCAGTATCCGTATATGTATGTATCCATAGCCACATCTATATGTGTTGTGTATGTGTGTTGAGTATGAGTATCTATGTGTCGTCTCTGCATTCTGCATTCAAGCTGTTATCCATCCAAGAAAAATTGCGCTTTTTCGACGCAGCAGCCACGCACTTGATAAATGCAACAAGCTTCCAGCTACTTGTGTCTAATAAATATTCGTAAAAGAAAAGAAGGCAAAAAAGCAAACAATGAAAAGCAGCAATCGGTCGATCGGGCTTCGTCTTCAATTGAAATAAAGTTGTTAAGGTCGTGGGTTAATCACAATTTGTGGGTAATATTTTTGGTTATCTCTATGCTCGGCGGACATTTGTATTACGCGCTTGTGCCCGCTTCTTCTCCTGTTTGTGTGCCTGTGCCCCGACTTGCTGCTCGAATTTCGATCTCGATAACGACATCGACACTTCGAACACGATATCGATAACACACCAATCAAACACGCCTCTGCATCGCCAAAAACCAAATCAATTTGTAAGTAATACACGCTACACTGCGTACCTAATTTGAATCTCGAACGTACCTAAACAAAAAATTGATATTTTCTATATATTTTTGTGTCTTTTTTGTGTGTGTCTTTGAGTTATTGCTTATCCATATTTTTACGTATTCTTCTTATTTTTGTATTTCGATTTGTGTGTGTTCTAGAACCTAAGGCAATACATTTTAAGCATTTAAATTACAATTATCCTTAATGATCGTGTACGGCTTTTGATTTCACCCTAACTGTGTAAACCATGTCGATGTATCGTATCTTTTGTTCCGTTCCGTTCCGTTCCACTGCAGTCTTATGTCTTATCTATGTGTGTGTGTGTGTGAGTGTTTAGAGTTTAATTGAAACGAAAAGTATATATAGATAGAACACAGCTGCATATGTGAACATACAATCTAAATGTGTTAAACCCAAGCCCTAACCAAGTCAAGAATTGCTCCAGAAATAAACCAAGGTAAAAGGATAAATATCGCCCAAAAATCACCACTCACTCGTCGTAGGCATATTCGATAACTGAATAGAGATTGTTGAACCAACATATCAACCTTTTCAAATACCAATTTAACTGAAACTCCCTTTGCAACTACCCATCATTCCCACGTGTCATGTCGATGTCTATAGAAAAACACGAATACACTGGAGATCATACCTGTGAGTCATATCTTGAGATAACTAGCAGACCGTATTTAACCAATATTCGTATGCATGCCACACTCTTTCTCTCTGTCTATGTATACAATTTAAACATCTTGTGTGCCTATTGCCTGCCTATGTGCATTTTCCACTCAAGTGCATCCTGTCGGGCAATTTAGCATAAATATTTTTGCCCACTCATTGGAACGCTCAAGTAACTTCGTGACTTGTGGAATCATTCCTTAAAGGCAGATGTGTACTTGAGCTTTTCATTGAATTTTCTTTCGTTCTATGTATTAGTATTCTGTGTATTTTCTGTGTGTGTATCTCTATCTCCCTTTTTGTGTACCTATTAGTAAGCAGCTTTTCCCCCGTAACCAACTTCAGTCTAGCAACAGCTGCAGCCCCCTCATTGGCTGGCTTCTCTGGCGCTTTATCTTTTGTGTTTTCTTTTTTTTTCCCGATACCAATTACAGCCCGCATCTTATTATGTATGTATGTATGTATGTATGTATGTACCTACATCATACAAGTGTTTGCTTTTATTTGGTTTTCATTTCCAGCTAATTGTGCCGCGTGTGTGTGTGCTTCGGTTCTATTTGAATTGGAATTCATATTGAAGTGCAATTCAATACTGAATTTCGCTTTAGTCTTT